AGGAAAAAAAAAAAAAAAAAAAAACAAAAAACAAAAACGTTTTAAAAACCGGAGAATATTGGAAAGCAACATGCAAATACATTTTGTCTCCGAGTCGAAAGATCATCATTAAATTTATAACAATATTTCCCATAATCGTTACCATGCTCAATAAAAAACAATATCAGATACGAAGTCACCAAAATTATAGTCAGTAATCTCTCACTTTTTTTGGGACCGCATACAATAGATAAAATGATCTCATTTTAAAAATTGAGAACAAGAAAAAAAAATTAATTATTTTAAGTTTTATAACCAATACTCTAATCTGATTAATCTTTTCGTTTAGCTCGACCAATGTTAGAACGATCGATTGTCCTATTGATACTCGTCAATGTAATCAAAGAAAGTCAGCATTTCATGACATATGACGCACACGCATATTACATTGATGCCATCATATATATATATTATACACATATATTATATATTATATACACATATATAATATATATGCGTATAATATATATATAATATATGTATAATATATATATATATATATGGATAGTTGCTTAGTTTTGCTTAAGTTTAGCGAAATCGATTTTAGCGTAATTGAAGCCTTCTTGGGATGCTGGCGACATAGGTGCCGCATTACCAACTTCTGGAAGATCTAGACTAGCATAGTGCAAAATTTCCGCAGCAGCTTGCACTTTATCAAAATTCTCTTTTTCTAATGGACTTGGCATTGCGGTAGGTGTAGGTGTTGGTGTTTCATCTGGCAATTTAGGAGACGATGGTCGTTTTTCAATAGTTGGCTTAAAACCAGATAACGTGGGGCTGGTATTTGGAGACGCAGTGATCAAACGTGGCTTCGATACATTTAAATCGGAAAACTTTTTTGTTACATTGTTCAATGTATTATCTTGCGAGGTCAATGAGTTGTTTGATATTATGCGGTTAACTTGATTATCCTTCCCTGTAGGACTAGATGCTCTATCTTTAATTATTACTTTCGACAAAGTACTATTTGCATCTGTTACAGAAATAGAATTGATCGTGCTAACTCTACCATTTGTAGCATCTGCAATAGTACGATCATTATTATGTTTAAGGGTCATATTCAGTTCTGAAGGTTCATCGGTATTCTTTTGATGAGTAAATGATTTCTCGGGTGATTGAGGACTATTCAAGGAGAAAGGGAAAATAGTCGCTGAAGAACCAGTCGGAGTTGCTCGAGGAGGTGATGCGGGTGTACTCGCTAAACTTTCTGATTCTGGACTTCCGTTTAAAGGTAAGAAACTAGGCGTTTTTATAGGTTTATTTCCCGCTTGGATCGCAATTGGCTGCGAACGTGATTTCTCTTTACGACTACCGGTTCGCGTTGCCATTGGTTTACGATTGTTTCGATTGCTCATGTTCATATTTATGTAATCTTGTTCTAAACTTGTTCTTGGTTTGAAATTCATATCAACATAGTCGGCAGGTGGACGCCGTGGAAGATCGACCGGTGCTGTTCTCGTGGCTCCTAAAACATATCATATATAAACATTAATAAATATATAAATAAATACTTTTAAGAAATATTAAATTGCATAATTTAGTATTGAAAAATAGTTAATTAATTAATTTTAAAAATCAAACAAATCTTTTACCTGGCGGTCCATTTGATTGCACACTTTCTTCTTGCATAGGCGATGAAATTAGCTTAGGGCTACTACCGGATTGTGACCAATCCTCCATTATACCATCCATTCTCATGTATGGTCCTTCTGCTTCTTCCACCGGCTTCAATGTAGTAATTACGGGTTTATGTATGGAAGCAGAGGACGATACATGAATGTGACTATGATTTTGATTGGCAGTGATTGTATTATTATTGTTATTACGATTAATCTGAAAAAAACGTAATGGAACACTCAAAAATTAATATAAAATAATTATGTTAAAAATTTCGAAAGCGAATTAATTTTACAGCAAAATCAATTTTATAGATTATATACATGCAGTATTATATGCTACAAAGAAATTAATTTCAATCCAAAAATACCTTATTTATGCGGCTCATATCCACGTATGGGGCAGTGGTCGACGAGGGTGGTTGTCCAGGAGACATATCAACATAGGAACTGGTGTCAGTGGCAGTAGAGAACGAATGTGATTGAGATTGCGGTTGTGAATAAGATGAAGGGGGTGAATTAAAGGTTGTAGAAATACTGGGTTTCGTAAAGTCCAATTCCATTAAATCCTCCATTCTTTCAGAAGTTATAGAACAACCGGAATTATGACCCCAAGAACTCGATAATAACGGTGCAGAGTTCGATTTATTGGAACTTGAGTTTTCACAACCAACTGGTAATGGTGCAGTAACTACATTCACTAATTTTCCGAGTTCAGGTTTTTTGGATCTGCTACCTACAGAGAATGCTCGTACTCTACTAACGTCTTGCTGAGTAATATCCAATCTGTTCAAAATCAAATAAAAACACAATTATAATAAATAATTATATAATATGGTCTATCTTCATATGAAAAATTCTCTCTCAATACGAACAAATAGAATTAATATGAAGTTTTATACCTATTCTTACGATGACTTTTTACAGGTTCTGGTCGAGAACCAATGGAATAGGCTCTTGCTGGTCTAGCTTGCAAATCGTCTCCAGGTGGAAGAAAACTTGTTACTTTATCTAGATGATACTCGGAAAACCGTAAATCTGTGCTAGGTGTACCAGAAGTAACGGAACAACTACTGCCACCATGCGATAGATCATCGGGAAAATGACCATTGTGATTATGCGAAGGATCCATGTCAACATATCCATTATTTCCAACAGGTGCCATAGGTACATAACCTTCTGGTAAAGTATTTGATTCCTCTACAAGTGAAGATCCTCGTGAATGCGAGTGTCCTGTTCCTGAACTCATTGGCATGTAAGCTCCACTTGGGCCAGGACTCGATCCACAAGGACTACACATTTCTAAATAGGAACTTTGCTGTAAATACAATAAAATTGTGCGCATTATTATTTTATCACTATCTTTATTAAATGATGCAATCATTAAATGATAAAATTTCACAATAATGATGCAATATAATCTTCAATGTTTTAATATGTTGTCATTTATTTATTTAATAATAAACTCTTATGTTACTACTTCCTAGATTTTTTTTAAATTAATATTTTTATTTTTAATAGAATATTTCATAAAAATATATTTTATAATTTCAAATTATATCATAAATATACAATAACATATAATAACTGAAGATAAGAGTTTGATAAAAAATTTTAAGTTTATTACTGAATATATATTTTCATTTTAAAAATTTAATTTTTGTTAAAACAAAGTAAATTTTCAAGAAAATCTATGAAATCTTGTTAAACTGTGCCAAGAATGACTAAAAATATAAATTGTAATGCTAAGAATAGTTAATCATCAC